GGATTTTGAAAATATCTCCCATGTCCTACTTAACATGGTCAACCTTTCCTCTAGCTTTCCGACTAAAGGAAGAGTTATCATAGCTGTTTTTAATGTCCTTGTCTGCTAATGCAAACATTTGTGTCAATTCTGGGCCATTTTTTATTCACTGGTTTTTCTTCTCATTATAGGACCTATTTTCCTTTTTCTTTGCATATACTAAAAGGGCAAGGAGGCCACATGTTCTGACCTTCTCTGACTGCACAAGAGGAAGACAGAATCACAATTAGTAGCCCAAGGCCCATTCCTGTGGGGCCAGACATGCTGCCTCCCTCCAGCCCTTTCACCAACCCTGACAGCAACCGTTCCTTCCGCAGCACTCACTACCTTTCTTCTGGGTTCAATAATTCACTGCAGTGGCCACACAGAACTCACAGATTTTGGGGTTTATTAGGGAAGCACCAGGCTATAGTTCTAGTTCAGGAAAAATGCTCAGTCCTTCTCCCAGCCCACCATCTCTCAGCCAACAGTCTCTCCCAGTCTCTCTCCCAGCAGTGCGTGTCCCTTGGTGTCTCTCTCAGCAATGCTTGTCTCTTGTGTCTCTCTCCCAGCAGCGTGTGTCTCTCAGGAGCACGTCCTTCCTCAGTCAGCAGTCAGAGAGACTTCTTCTGCCTCTAGGAGGCCTTTTATTGAGCCCAGCAGAGTGGCCAAACCAACCAATCATAACATCAGAATTCTAAGCACCTGAGAGAGAGCGGGAACCTCCTAGAACATTGTTTTGTGCCACTCCCAACAGAAATACCTCAGGTGGACAACTTTAGCAATCAGCAGCTCCTCAGTTGCTCACAGCAAATTCCACCACGGAGTTTATAAGGACTTATGGGTAGAAAAGCCACACTAAGTAATTTACTACAGTGCAGCATACATGAGAATTTTTGACTGGATGCCAGGCATTGTGAATTTCATCTTGTTAGTGCTAGATATTTTTGTACTCTTAAGAATATTCTAGAACTCTGTTCTGGGGTGCAGTTTAGTTTCTTGCAATCAGTTTGATTCTTTTAGGTCTACCTATTAAAATATCTTAGGCTGGACTAGATCAACATTTTGTCCAGGGTTAATTATTCCTTACCACTGATAAAAGAACCTTCTGAGTGCTCAACCCAATGCCCTGTGAATTATGATGTTTTCTAGTCAGCTGGTAGGAAAAGGGTTATTCCTGGACTTGTGTGAGTTTTGAGTACTGTTTTCTCTAATCCTTTCAGTTAGTTCTTTCCCTAGTTTTGGGTCGTTCCCCCAACACATACGTGCTGATCAGACACATACTCAAGGAGTCTCTCTGTCTCCAGAGTTCTCTCTCTTTGCAGCTCTCTCCTCTCACTGGCACACTACACTACAAACTCTAGCCACTTATATCTTCCTGGACTCTCATCAATGTCTCCTCAATGTAGGGAATCTGCCAAGTACCACTTGAACCATGGTCTGGAATTTCCTTCAAGGCATTATCTTGGAGCAATCATAGGACTCACCTTATTTATTTCCTGTTACCAAGAATCACTGTTCTTTGTTGCTTGATATAAAATATCTTGAAACCATTGTTTCATATCTTCTCTCTAGTGTTTTAGGTGTTTTCATGTGGGAGTGTTAATCTGATCACTGTTACTCTACAGTTTGGCTCGATGCCCAAGCTTTGGACTTTGTATTTAGATACATAGACATTAATTCTCCACTCTGTCATTTCTTGGCTATATGACGTTAGGCAAACTGTCTGACTTCTCTGATCTTTTTTTTTTCCCATGTGAAAAATGGGAATAATAATGTCACAGTGATTAAAATTACAGTTTCCATAACTGTAACACAAGGTGTGGCATATAGTAAATCCTCTAGTCATGACGTTATGTTTATTACCTACATTATGGAGTTAGATGATTTTTGTAGGCTATTGTGTTTAACTGACAATTGATATTTGCAAATGGGAACTTAAACTCTGTCAAATTTTATATTTTATAGTTGTTCTTTTAAATCTCATTAATAGTGCACTGAAATACATCAGAAATTATTACACCATTGGCTCTTCCATTTTGAAAAAAAGAATTTAAGACTTTTGTTTGTCTTCCTTCAACTACGGAATTGGCTATTTCCTGAAGTAAACTATCCCTTTCCACATTTCCACTATAAATCCAATTGCTTCAATCAGATAGTAAGGTTTTATTTATTTTAGTTATTGGTTTTTAAAAGCTCCATGTACTATTTAAAATGAGGTTAATAGAGCAATTCTAAAATGTTTTTAAATGTGATATTTTGGTAATAGCTATCTTAGAATTTGTTTATTGAACCAAAAAAATGATAGGCCAATCAATATGTGAGTTGATTATGTAAGTGGTGTGGCTATAAGAGAGTTTAATTACAAAGTTTGAACCGAATACTAAGAACAATATGCATTTGGAATACATTTTAAAGGTTCAGCATGGACATTAATTTACTTTCTTCACATCAAAGCAACACATGAAATAAACAAAAATCCATGACAATTAGTAAATACACAGTTACTCAAAAGTATACCATCCTTGTTGCATAGCAACTGTTGATTCTATTATGTGCCTTTTACATACTCTAAAATAATTAAGCACAGGCACAAATTGCTATCTATTTTTTTAATGTTGAAAGCATTTAAGTTGTGAAATTTACTCTAATATGTGTATTATATATTTGTAAAGAGAATATTTCATTCCTACGCAAAGGCACAGTGACCCAAGAAAGAGATGACAATGTCATATTAGCGATTCTCATTTCTCATGAGAGGACTTTTAGGGAACTTTTAATTCATAGTCTCAACAGCTAACACAGCCAAGACATAATTATCATTCCTTGGCTTTATTTGTCTGGATCCTGGTTTACTGCTAAGCTAAATTATAACATTTATTAATAAGAAATCATTTCTTATCAGTTTAATGAAATGTCCTATACTATAGAAAATTATACATCCAAAAATACATCTGTGATATTATTTATTAGAAAAATATCATGATCTTAGAACTTGATGATTCTTACATAGGTTTATTTTCACTATAAAATTAGCTTCACAGCACAAAGCAAAAGCATAGTACTTTCATATGGTCAGATTAACACTAACTTGCTCTCCTCACTCACGGCAGCACCTCAGGACCAGCATACAGTGAACAGAGGAACTAGAGTGGCTCCCAAACACAGACCTTTTCTCCAGTCGAGTGTATATGAAAACCCTAGTGGCATGTGAATGCAAAGATGGGGAACTTCTATACAACAAAGACAGGAAAAGTCGCTCAATCTAAGAGAAGGCACTCAATAGGAGTTGGAGGGAAGAGAAGGATTCATCAATTTTTGTCCACATTAATTCCATTAGTGAATTTTCTGAGTCACAAGATGGGGATTTCACAGCATCTCTGATACACATTGCCAAACTGTTCTCCAAAAGGTTGCTTCAATTTGCAGTCCCTTAAAGAGTAAGTATGAGAAAGAGACTTCCTCACTTTACCACAAAGCAAAAACCACTCTATCAACTGGATGCTTAAAAACAATAATCTCTCATTGTTTTCTTTTCTTTCTTTCTTTTTCTTTTGATTACTAGTTAGGGTTAACAATCCACCTCTTTTTGAATTTTTAAACATAAATTGTTAAGGACAGGAGAAATGAGTAAGAGCAGACCAGTCAATTAAGAACACAGATTGAGGCTAGTAAATTTAGAAAGAATTAAAGGAAGTGAGGGCCTTAGAGAAAAAGGAAAGGAAATAGTCTGTGCTATAAAACAGAAGAATGAGATATTTATGGTAACTTTAGTTCATATTCTCAAATTTTAGTTTTTGTCTACATGGTACTTTTATTATAATGACCATTTTTGTCACAGCCCAAATGTGAGTCCTGAGGAACAAAGGAAGGAGAATTAATAGTGGGCTAGCAGTGGCTAAGAATGGCTGTTTGAAGTCTGGAAATGAAATTGACAAATTTAGCCTTGACCTGAGCCAGCAAAAATACCTAAAGGGTTTCAATACAGTGGATGGAAGAGTGGGGTGTTTCGGGTAGAGATGTCAGTTTAAAGGTGTCCTAAATTTGTTGGACAAACTAAGTCTCCAAAGAGAAGAATTTTTTAATAACCACACAGGTTATCAGGACTTCAGTGAAGCAATCTGCCTTTCAGTGGATAGGTCCTGTTCTACAGGCATATTTAACACATAATCATAAAACTAAGACAGAAGGCTGATGTTAGGAATAGATATAAGCTGGAGCAGAGAAAGGGTTAGAGGAGGCTTTGGCTCAGTGTGCAGGATAGGACCTAGGGATTGGGCTAGAAGTACCAGAAGTTTATGGCAGGAGATGGTGGCCATCACTACAATGACTATAGCTATGCGTGGTCTGGGAAAGTAGGGACTAACAAATTTTTAAAATATTGCCTGCTTTATTGTTTTAAAATTATGAAAGTGCTATTCATCATGGAACTCTTGAAAAATATAGAAAAGCTCAAAGACAAAAATCATTGGACTTTTGCATACTTTGAATGAATATTTTCTTTGTAAATAATAATCAGGAAGCTATTATTCACTTTTACTTTGCTAGAATAAATATGTCAAATGTTCGTAACTAAACAATTTTTAGTCATTTTCTATTTTCTTCTATTATCTTCTTAAAAGCAGAGAAGTTGTGAGAGTTAATATTTCCCGCTTTTAAGAACATGGTCAAATGCATACCCTGTCACTTATGAGACAAAATTAAATCCTTAGAAGTAAAAATTATGCTTTTGCATGAAAATTAAGGGCTATTTTAATCTTAACAAGATTTCAAATTCTATTTTGATCTTTTCTTTCCCATGATGTTGTCTAACATTTTGGAAAAGACTTGTATCATAAACATGTTTGGTGTAAGAATTCCAGAAGGAACCAAAAGAGTGCACAAAAGCAAAGACATCTAGCTGAGATACAGTCTGCTAGTAGATGGATAGAATTAAAGAAAGCAAAGAAAACACATGCTGGTGAGAGCCACATTATCGTTACCTTCTCTCTCCAGTTATCATCACTCAGCAGCTTCTGTCTAAGGGTTTCCTGCAATTGCTCAATGCTTTTCTGGTGTGAAATCAGCATCAGCTCTCTGAAAGTCATAAACCCAACAAATGAGTCAAGACTCACTCCTAACATTCTTCTTAGTTGCAGTTAATAACTCAGAGAATATTCGTTCATAACTTACGTTTGTTTTCTGTAGCAATGCATACACTGCTACCAGATACCAGATTAAAAGGTAACAAAAATGTACAAACACTGCAGAGAAGGTAAGTATGTGCTCAGACTAAATTTTTATTTAACAAGTTATAGATTATCATTTTTGCATAAAATAGTAACAACACATCTGGATTCATTTATAGAATTAAGCATGGTTCCAAATGTTAGTAATTAATTCTAACAGACAATATTTTGTTTCTTAAGAAAGGAAAATATGTTAGGATATGCCATATAATCAAAAAATGTCAGGAGATCCTGCTGGATTTTTCTTTCACTTATCTCAAATATTAATAGGAACAAATCTCATTAAGTAGAGGGTAAATGTCAGGGATACGATATAAAAAGCAAAAACCAAGTCCGCTTCCATCTAGTCAGTTCTGACTCATAGCAACCCTATAGGACAGAGTAGAACTGCCTCATAGGGTATCTAAGGCTGTGAATCTTTATGGAAGCAGACCACCACATCTTTCTCCCACAGAGGAAGTGGTGCATTCAAACTGCTTACCTTTTGGTTAGCAGCTGAATACTCTGTACCAACAGAGTTTCTGGGATACGATACAGTACAAAACATACTAGAAATCAAAAAATGTAAAAAAATACTTTAACATTTTGATCCACTTAAAGGATCTTGAATCTCAGCCTGTGAATCTCTGAGTGAAATAAGTTTGGGAAATTCATGAGAAAATTTCATAGCAACACAATAAATTAAGGCTTTGAATATCACTAAGAGCTAAGAGGAAACATAAACTCTATACTATCTTAAAACTTTCAGTAAATCCAAATTTACTCCAAACCATAAGTTATATCAAAACAAAAACTGATGTGAAAGCAAGTATCCTCAAAATAAGTAGAACATTGAAGACAGCTCTGACTTTGAAGGTACTTTCCATATCTGGTCAACTTGAGCTTTAAATTTCACAGCTAGGAAGAGCATCCAAACCAAACCAAACTCGACTCATAGCGAGCCCTCCTCGGGTTTCCGAGGCAGTATCTCTATGGAAGTAGATTGCCCAGTCTTCCTTCCAAAGAGTGGTTGGTGGGCTTGAACCACCAGCCTTCTGGTTAGCAGTCAAATGCCTTTGGTACTATGCCACCAAGAGCCAGGAAACTCACCTCCATAATGTTGGACTACAAAGAGTGACACTGAATATGTGTGTGAAATACAAATAACAACATCTCCTTTCAGGAGACAAAAAATGAAATTACCTGCTTTGAACTGTGGTGCTAAGCAGAGGGAAAAATAATCTCCCACAAGAAAATATAAACACAAACTGCCCTCATGCAAGTTTATATCTTCAATTCACACTGCCCGGATATGGCCATAGATGTCTAAACATGGTAAAATTTCAACAGTACCCACTAAAACAATAGATACAGAATATTCCATTAGAGAAATAAATATATAACTTGAGGATTTTATGTGAATGACCTCCCTATAGGAGCACCACCAGTGTCAAACAGACAAATAATTCAGTAAACACATAAAAGATTTAAATAATGCAAACAATAAGATTGACTTAAGGTACATATATAGAATGTTGTATCCAATTTGTGTTAAATACATAATTATTGTACAACTCACATGAAACTGACCACATACTATGCCAGAAACAAACTTCAGTAAATTTCAAACAACTGCTATTACTATAAGCTTGTCCAATATGGTAGCCATCAACCACATGTGACTAGTGAGCACTTAAAGTCATCTAGTGGGAACTGAGATGTGCTGGAGTGTAAAATAAACAATGAATTTTAAAAATAGCACAAAATATAAAATATCTGTGATAATTTTAAGATTATTAAATAGGAATAGGATGAGATTGGGGAGAAGTACAAAGGGACTTCAATGGTAAAGTTCAAAGTGGTTGATACATGTGTTCATTGTATTGGAATTGTTCATACTTCATTATTGTTGTTAGTTTCCATGAAGTTGGCTCCAACTCATGGCAACCCTATGTACAACAGAACAAAATGTTGCCCAGTTCTGCATTGGCGGCTTGAGTTCATTGTTGTAAGCACTGTGCACCTTTAGCTTTCCAATCTAGGGGATTCATCTTCCAGCACTCTATCAGACGATATTCTGTTTTGACCCATAGGTTTTCATTGACTAATTTTAAGAAGTAGATCACCAGCCATTTCTTCCTAATCTATCTTAGTTGATTGCTTCATTGAACCCTGCCAGCCACGAGTAGTCTGGTATTTGAAATACTGGTGGCATAGCTTCCAGCATCATAGCAACCCATAAGCCGTCATAGCACAACAAATTGACAGATGTGTGGTGGGTTTGTACTTTACTCTTTATACTTTGCACTTATAGAAACCATCTATGTATCTGCTTAATATTTATAAAAACAATAAACTCTGAGCACAGAATAGAATGGTATGTGGAAGAATTAGAATTAAAGGTAAAGACTAGTGTGAAGGAATAGGGAAGTGAGCAGCAAATCCCTTTTCTGAGTGGTGGGCAGCATCACAGGCCCTGGAAATACAGAAGTGAATTAGGAAGACAGAGATCCTGTCCAAATGGTGCTCAAAATCCAACAAATGGAAAATAAATACTCATCTTTTATAGTCTGAGGCAGACCCAGTAGGTTCTTGAATGCTTTGTACAACAGTCTCTAGGTTAGGGAAAAACCAATGAGACAGAAGAAACACAGGAGGAGGGAGCAAAAGTGGACTTACATTGTAAGCTTCATTTGTAACTTTCTCAGCAATCCTGCCTCTTTCCCAGTCTCATCTTCCTCTGTCAATTAAACATTGGTGTTTCTCAGCACTTCACTCTGGGACCTCTCTCCCACTGTACTCTTTCTCTAGGTGGTCTTACCCACTCCTACGGTTAAATGCTGACAACTTCCAAATTTTATCTCTAGTTCAGATCTGTTGTCCAAACACCTGACTCTGCCTGACACCTCCACTTTTACATTTCAGAAACATATCAATTCAATGTTTGTAATCTCAGTGGTTTATAATATCAAAGCTTCAAGGAGTGACTCTTACTTGGACTCTTATTTGGATTTCTTTTAAAGCTTCTGCTCAAAGTTAGTACATGTAACTCCTTTCAGATTTTAGTGGCAAGAACAAGTCAAACCGCCAAGTCTGATTTTACTCAGGGGTAGACAGTATATTCTTCCCACTGGGGAGATGCACTGTAAGTCACTAGGCACCAGGTGGAGTCCATTGCAACTCTGAAATCCCCCTGGAAGCCATTGTGAGGATTCCTATCCTGGAGATAGGGAACATCCTTTGCTTAGACTGGTTCTTCCTCCTGGAAATATTTTTTCAGTCCCTTTTCTCTATATTTCCTGGATTTCCTCCTAGAGATGTACTTCTGTTTCTATTATCCAGCTTGGACTCATGAGAAGAGGGCATTAGACATTTTGCCCTGTTTGAGTCAAGCAGCTTTTTCAACTTGCTTCCTGTCCATAAAAGATGGTGGTGGCAGAAGGGAATGGAAAGGGTGCCTTGATTTTTAAAAACAGAGGAGCCCTGATGGTGGAGTGTTTAAAAAACTCAGCTGCTAAGCAAAAGGTCAGCAGTTTGAACCCACCAGCTGCTTTGCAGAAGAAAGCTGTGGCAGTCTGCTTCTGTAAAAATTAAGATTACAGCCTTGGAAACCCAATGGGGAAGTCCTACTTTGTCCTGTAGGGTCTGACCATGAGTCAGAGTCAGCTTGATGGCCGTGGGTAATTGACAAATTGCATTTTTAAAATATACAACTGGGTGAGTTTTAACATACACATATACCCGTGAAACCATCTTAAGACACTGTTAAAGAAAGAAACAATCTTGTTTTGAAAGAAATTATAAAGGACCATTATTGATTATAGTGAACATTTTTGCTAGAAATCTACAGGAATTATGTGAAATGAAATATTGTTAGAGACATATTCCATCATTTTCCCTGTTACAAAAAGCAGAAATATACAGCCATTTTTGAGCATCAAATATCTGACATCCTCTTCAGAACCAATTCTTAGATCTGTTAGGTTTTAGAATTATAGAAGACAAAAAGATTTAGGTCTTAAATTGGGATTTTACTAAGAATCTAATAAGAAGATTACCACTAGGATCATGGAGTTTTGAACTTTATTCCCAGCACTGATTTTTGGTAAGTCAGAAGCTCTCTAAGCTTGAAAGAAATAATAAGGGAACCTCCCAGTTTTAAACTTGATTGGAATTAAATTCATTCCCATCCATCCACCCATCTATCTAGTATATATTTATCGAGTTCTTACTATGTGTCAGGCACTGTTTTAGTCTCTGGAGAAACAGTGGTTTAAGAAAAACAAAACAAGCAGACATGTTTTTTTCTTGACATTCCTTATGAATAAGATAATGCAACTCCCTCATTTTAGATGAAAGGAAGACCTTGAATGGTAAATGACTATCTGAGGTGAAATGATTCATAAGTGGCAAAGCTGGCTCAAGCTTATGTCAGCTCAAGGCTCTCTCTAGTGTGTCATGCTGCCTTTTCCTATCTGAGGGAGGTGTGGCTACCTGAGGCATTTTACCCTGTAATTTCACCAGATATTAATAATGTTTTTGGAGTTGGCAAAATAGGTAAATTAGCTTCTACTCACAATTAAGAATATTTGCTTAACTTTTTTTAACTTCTAAATTCTTAGACCAAAAAGAAAATAATCTAATCATATATATATATGTATATATATATATGGGAGCTCTGGTAGCATAGTGGCTAAGACACTTGCCTGCTAACCAGAC